CAAATGCAATGCAGATGAATACTCCAATGGATACACGGGTCTAAACTGTATTCCTACCCTCAACAGGAAGTTTCTGGAGAATATTAATCAGAATATTCTTAAGGATAACCTGATGAGCTCTCAATGGATATATCAATTCAGTGATAAAAGCTGAACCCACAAGAGCAAATACCAACTTCAATTCAAGATCTCGACAAAGGTCAAGCGATAAACGCGACGCCTGGAAGACATTAGCTATTCTACAAAGAACTGAATAGACTAAAAGCAACAGAGATCAAGCATTGAAGCCATTCACAAGTCCTTTCACACGATCTACTCAACCAAGCATTGAAGGGATCGTAAGTAAAATCTATCTTATCCAAAGTATCCAATGCTCCTCTATAAAAGAATGAGTCTGGAATACTTTGGATGGGGTATCTGTAGGCGTCAAAAAATGCTAATAGATATCCCAAACATAGAGAAAATCGCTCAAAGGGATCTCATATTGAAAATCAAGGCAGGAATGAACTGTCTCGCCAGCGAGACAGGCTTTGCTGTCTCGCCAGCGAGACAGGCTTTGCTGTCTCGCCAGCGAGACAGGCTTTGCTGTCTCGCCAGCGAGACAGGCTTTGCTGTCTCGCCAGCGAGACAGTATTTGCACTGTCTCGCCCAGCGAGACAGTAAACACTGTCTCGCCAGTCTAACTTCATCGTTTGTTGAGTTTTTTCAGTTATGAACTCCAGAGGCTATAAATACCCCCCTAGGGTCATTTCTGACGAGGATCGAGCATATTTTCGAGCATTCCAGAGCAGAGAGAGCAGATTTGAGTTTTCATACAACGCCTTGAAATTAAGCTTTGACTTGATTTTAAGAAGAACGACTATCTTACTTCGATAAGATATCGTTTCAATTTCTCACTTCGATAAACGAAGTCAGAATCAGTAAACCCCCTCTTCACGATCTGTGATTCGGCGGTCCACGAACCAAAGCGTTCCCGGCACAGGCAAAGTCCCACGAAAACAAAGATCGATAGACGATTTTTGTGTTTGTTTCTCAAAAGTTGTAATTTTTGCTTTGTTGTGTAAAAGAGGTCTTATAAAAAGACTATTTCTTCGAATTTATTGTAATCGCTTGAAAATATAATGAATTCCTCAACAGAACCGACTTTTGACTCAAACAAATCCTTGCGCCATCCATCTACATTCGCTACAAAGCAAAAATAGTTTAAGATGTTTATGCAACAATAAACAACGACAAAAATTTTATCAACTAACTTATCAACAAAACCCTTTTATACACCCAACATTTTAAACTATAATCATGATTGACATGATACAAAAGTACTACATTGAAAGTTTGAAAATTAGCAATCATCTTTTTTTTATGTGAACATGTTAAAGGGGGGACCCTCAAAAGATATCTTCAATATTACAATCTTACAGTTACCCTCCCTCCCCCTACCTCCCTCAGTCCCTCGTGTGTTCAACCAAATCTGACTAAAGTGAGTGTGCTCAACCAAGTCTGATTCCATTGTGTGTGTGTGTGTTCAGTTAAATCTGATTCCAGTGCATGTGTATTAGTTCATAAATAAGTCATGTCAAAGGAAAATATTTTCATCTATTTATAAATATAAGAACAGACCTTTAATCTTTTCATATCTGATAACATATTGATAACTCAAGTAGATAGGATGGCATTTTGAAGAAGCATATTTGCAACTCATATAAGAAGAAATAGTGGCATTTTGAATAATTGAATCAGACTTAAGGATATATAACACAAGTCATGTCTATCAATACATGACCATGATTCTCAGTAATTGAGTAATAGGAAAAACCCACGAGTCATGACTAATGAATTTAATAAATAGAAAAATAAAGAAAATGACAGAGGTAGAACTACTTAATCCCCGAACAAGACGACTAGTGATACGAAAATGCAGAGGTAAAAACTCCTTAACACTTGTCTAAAGACTATAACAAAGTACACTGGTTGAAAGTCAATAGTAACAATTAAAAAAAGAGATTTGAAATTAAAGACATGGATTCCTTTCTCTTGGCTCACGAGATGATTAATTTCTGCTCATCCGGTAAAAAGGAGATATGTGCCATCAAAATCGATTTTTTTATCCCTTCTCTTATTGATAAGTCTCAGGCTGCCTTTCAAAGTGGGAAATCAACTCTGGATTCCTTTCTCTTGGCTCACGAGATGATTAATTTCTGCTCATCCGGTAAAAAGGAGATATGTACCATCAAAATCGATTTTTTTAAAGCCTTCGACTGTGTCAATTGGAACTTCCTTTTGAATCTTCTCAGAGCTAGAGGTTTCAGTCCTCTATGGTGTTCCTGGATTCAAAATATCCTTTCCTCCTCCAAATCAGCAGTCTTGGTCAACGGCTCTCCAACCAAATTCTTTCAGTGCCATCATGGTCTTAAGCAGGGTGACCCTCTCTCACCTATGCTTTTTCTGTTGGTCGTGGACATCCTTAGCAAAATGATTAACCAAAGTGCAGAATCAGGAGATCTTTCTAGTCTCAACCTTAAAGGAGAATTAAATCATATCAGACTGTTGCAATTTGCTGACGACACCATCATTTTCTCAAAAGCCTCTCAATCAGACATAGCTACCCTCAAAGCAGTTCTTTTGATCTTTGCCAACATATCAGGTCTCAAAGTTAACCACTCCAAAACGAGTCTCTTCTACTTAGGTAAAATTCCTTATAAGGGAGCTCGTCTTGCAAGTATTTTTAACTGTTCAATGGGATCTCTTCCGTTTTCCTACCTCGGCCTTCCTCTGAAGAAAGGCTCTCTTTCGAGAAGAGATTGGCAACCCATTTTGGAATCTTTCTCTAAAAAACTGGCATTATGGAAAAATAAATCGCTATCTTTAGGCGGGAGACTTACTCTGCTCAACTCAGTACTCTCTTCCCCTTCTTTATATTATATGTCTTTTCTTAAATTGTCTGTTTGGCTCACTAAAGCTATAGACAGATTGAGAAGAAATTTCCTCTGGAGTGGACAGAACCAACCTTCCAAGATTAAGTGCCTTATCAATTGGGAAACAGTTTGTAAAGCCAAGAAAGAAGGAGGTCTTGGGGTCAAAGACATTTCCTCCTTCAACTTAGCCCTCCTTTCCAAGTGGATCTGGAAGATTATGGATAATAACTCCCTTGTTAGCAAAGTAATATTCTCTTTGTACTCAAAAGACAAATTAAATCCTCTGGTCCATCCTCCTAAGGGCTCAGCCTCCATATTCATCCAAGATTTGCATTCAATTTGCCTTCCCTTCTTCAGCCACGTTCCATGGATAATTGGGGATGGTAAAACTTGTAGGTTCTGGCAAGACAAATGGTCTGGTGCCAATTCCCTCAGTAGCCTATTCCCAAGAGCTCATCACCTTGCTTTCTCCAAGACCTGCAATATTCTCTCGCAAGGATCTATGCTTCTTAATGCCTGGCAGTGGCACCCACTATTAAGAAGAGGCATTTCCCAGGAAGTAAGGGATGAAATCTCCGCTCTCCTCAATCATCTTTCTCAATTCTCTATCTCTGGCCACTCCAACCATGACAAGCTCCTCTGGCCCTATCATTCCTCAGGTACATACACAGTTAAATCTTTCTATACCCTTATCACCTCAGGAGGAGTCATCTCCCGGCACTTCAGATTCATATGGGCTTCTCCCATACCCCTAAAGGTTAAAATCTTCTTTTGGATTGCTAGTAAATACAAATTAAATACTAGGGATAACCTGGTGTTCAAAGGATGGCCTGGCAATCCAATTTGCCCTCTCTGTAATGATGCAAATGAATCCCATGACCACCTGTTCATTAAATGTGGTTACTCCTCATTGGTATGGTCTTCTCTTCTTCCCCAAGTTCCATTAACAACTTGGCCACAAAATTTGGAGGATATGATATCTTCCAATTTCAGTTCATCTTGTGGTCAAGATCTTGCTATTATCTGGAAGGTTTTACTCCTGTGTTTCTGCTGGTGCATATGGAAATGTCGTAACAATTTCATCTTTAATGGCATTGAAGCTCTTCCATCCCACATCGCTGCTAACGTGGCAAGATTTGTTTTATTTTGGGCAGGCTCCTCTACTAGCAGATCAGGTCTCAAGCTCCACAAGGCGACTATAAACTTGGGCATGGAAAACACTGCCCAAACTCATAATGTCGCAGAGGTGCCTGACAACTTCCCAGCAGCAACTTGATACCCAGAGCTGCAGTTCCAACCTATCTTTTGTAGGATTTTTTGGTATGTGTTCCAAACGTTAGTTGTATCTGTGGTCTTCCAACCTAGCTTTTGTTGGATATTCTGGTGGGTGTTCTAAGTGTTAGTAGCACGAAGTTGAACTCTGTGGTCTTTATATTTGTACTGTGTTGTTTTGTGGGTCTTTGTTTGGGGTCCTGGTACTTCCCGGTTTCTCAACAAAGGCCAATTATGTACATTAACCTTACTATCATCATATATATATATAAATATGCAGGGCTCCTCACCATGTTTCTACTAAAGAAAAATTTAAAGACATGGAAATACAGGAAAGCTTATTATAGATACATGTTAGCACTTGAGATCAGATCCACAAATTGACCTTATGAATTCGTTTAACAACAAAATTTTCAACCATAACTATCATAAAAAAAAGATATTTCTACTATAAATAAACCAGATCCACAAATTGATCAACTACGAACATAAAAAGATCAGAAACTACGATATTTCACGATTTTTCATTAATAGATAACTACAAATAGATCGACACAAAAAAAAGAGCAAAAAGAACAAATTATTACCGTGAGAGCCTTGAGATCAGAAACTACGAAAATAAAAAGAACAGAAACCCTAGCACTATTTTTCGTTAATAGATCAACTACAAATAGATCAACACAAAAAAAAGAGCAAAAAGAACAAATTATTACCGTGAGAGCCTTGAGATCAAAAACTCTAGCGCGAGATTTGGGAACGAGATGGAACCTTAGCGCGATATTTGGGAACGAGAGAACCCTAGATCTCGGGGCGATGGACGAGAGGGAACAAGATGTAAGCGGTAATTGGCACGAAGGACCAAAAGCTCACTGGATTTGGGGCGGGAACGAGAGCGAGATTTTTCGCCCTCGAAGCAACTCGTGAAATATCCAGCAGCTGGGGAAATGGGTATAGGAAGGGTTTTTGTGATTTAAAAAAGGATGATGTACAGAAAAAAATTAATTATAAAATTGCTATTGTTGACATTTTGAATTTTTTTTTATAAAAGTGTATAACCAAACAGCTAGGGGTGAGCACGGTTCAGTTCGGGTCGGTTTTTACCAAAATTTGAACAACCGAACCGAACCACCTATAATTCAAAACCGAACCGAACCGTTACAAATCGGTTCGGTGCGGTTCGGTTCGGTTTGTTCGGTTCTAACTTCATCAAGTATAACAATCAAAGGCACAAATATTGCTTGTCCAAGAGTTTATATCCAGGCATCCAAGCAAATAAACACAGCAGCAAGTTGTTGACATTGATTTTTTAAAAGCAAACACAAAGCTAGGTTGCCTTTGTTCATATAATATAACATCATGAATAACAGCAATTGAATCTAGAAGCAAGTGGGAATTAATATAACATCATGAAATAAGCTTCAGTACAAAGGAACAAAGGAACAAGTATATCAACTGATAAAAAAAAACCGTTTCTCCTCAGCTCGTTCTTTTTTAATCCTTTCAAGTTCAGCCAGTAGAGCTTCAGTGTCATCTTCGTCTTCATCATCGTCATCACTGATCACAAAAAAATGAGCTTCAGTACAAAGGAACAAGCATATCAACTGATAAGCCATTTACAAAAAATTGAAACAAATAGATAACATCAGAAGGTGAAAATAGATAGTCAAGGGATAATAATCAGGTTGACACACCTAAAAGGCTAAAACAATAAGTTGTACACAATGGAAATAAAAAGTTTGTTGGACACGATCCATTCTAATTCACAGAGTACAATGAAATAAAAGAGAATATTGGTTGTTTTCCACAGCTTAAAAATCACTGCTTGACACAAGAGAATAGCAACAAGATTGAAAAAAACTGCAAAGAGTAGCTCCAAACGCAAATGTTGATTAATAAACAGATGACTATCTCTCACCAAGCTCCAAATACTTAACCTTTCTTATCATAACTTTGAATTGAAAGATAATTTTATCATCCTATCCCTAAAAAGATTCGCTGCTTCCAGATCTTAACTCAGCCAAGTATAACAAAAAAAGAAAGTTAGGAATCCAATTCAAGGTTCCATTTTATTTTATTATTTATACAAAACCAATTAAAGAAGTATAAATATAAATACAATTAAGTTATTTAAAATACCATCTCTATGAGATTTATCAGCCAGCAACTTGCTTCCACCCATGCCTGCACTCAACTCAAGCACAATTAACTAATTTCCTCACCTGAAATAAATTTCAAATTAAAGGGGAAGAGTCAATGAAGTTCATTTCTTTATTCACACCATACCTCAGACAATTAGGAAATTAACAAAAAAGTAAAAATAAAAAATAAAAATACTTACCAGATTTAGCACTTGTGAAATAAATAGTCGTCCTTCACAGTTCAATCTGCACAACTAAGAGTGCAAAAAAACAATTATCAGAAACTAGAACCGAATGTAAAGATCTAGGGTTGATGACGACGAATTGCTAAGCGGCGGATTTTAGGTGAAGTCAGGGCCGGCCCTGATATTCTTAATTTTTCACGGGGCCCAAATCAAGCTTTCAAATGAGGGGCCTCTATATACAATATTCCATACACAAAAAATTTTATAAGATAGCAAAATATTTTTTATTAAAATGAGACAATAAGCACATAATCGTGTTAATATTAAAATCAAAAAACTTCTTGATGCTTTATAAATAACACAATTCATACTACATTAAATGGGATCGCCTTGCATTTTGAGCTGCAAAATTATCAATTAAAATGTTCCAATCAAGCTTCTCCAATAATTTTTTTTCGATAGATATCATAGCCAATCCATTCAATCTCTCTTGTGACATTGTTGACCGTAGATAAGATTTGATGAGCTTCAACTTTGAAAAGCTTCTCTCGGCCGATGCAACTGTAACTGGTATTGTCAATAATACTCTATAAGCAATCCAAGCATTTGGAAAACAACAATTTAGCCTTTCCATAAAATTCAATACTTCAATTGCTTTTTTTGTTCCTCTTGGTAATGCTTCTCTTAAGATTTGGAGTTCTGAAAATAATTCTGTCCCATTAATATCAAAATTTTTGTCATGCTTTAGAAGATCTTCAAGGTTAAGATATGAATACTTCAAACTATCATTATCTGCAGACTTCAACCTCTCCAAATTAAACAAGAAACCAAAAGATTCATCATACTGTTGAAACTGTTCAAATCTACTCTTGAGTGAAGAAAGAGCTTGATCAACGATATATATGAAGTAATTGACTCTAAAGGATTCTTCAGCTGTCATTGCCATCTCTTTACTAGCATTTTCATCAAAATGTTTCTTTCTACGAATGATGCGACGTTCACGAAAAATGGGTTCAACTTTCATTCTAACTGCAATTTCTTTAGCCTCAACCATAGCTGCTTCAAATCCATTTTCTCTGTAGCTTTCAAAAAAAGAAATGAGCCCTCTTAAAAGGTCTATAGCAACATCAATCTGCATATCCTCTGATTGCATGATTTTACTTATTTTGTTAATAGCATTCAAAATATCAAACCAAATAACCATACCAAGTAAGAACTCAAAATTCTCAACTTTATATGTTGCTAAGCACTCAGGATCACTTTTTGTCTTGGGATCTTCACTAGAACTTGCTAAGTAAATCAAAGCATCTCTTATATCTGGAGCTTGGAATCTTATTGCTTTAACACTTTCAACTTGACCTTCCCAACGAGTTTGTGATGGTGGCTTAAGTGTGAAACCTTTAACATTATCTGTAAGAACTTTCCACCGCTTTGTAGAAGATGCAAACAATGAATATATGCGCTGCACCACTCCAAAAAAAGATGAAGCTTGCGAACAAGAGTTTACCATATCACAAAGTGCAAGGTTAAGACTATGACAACCACAAGGTGTGTAGAATGCTCTAGGATTTATCTCTAATAATCTTCTTTGTACACCTTTATGTTTTCCTTTCATATTAGAACCATTATCATACCCTTGTCCTCTTACATCACCAATATCAAGTTTAAGCTCTTGCAAAATATTTACAAGTTCTTCAAAAAGTCCTCGTCCTGATGTATCATCCACCTTTAAAAATCCTAAAAAGAACTCCTCCATCTTTATTGGGCTTGTTGAAATATTCACGCATCTTAATATAAGTGACATTTGCTCTTCATGGCTTGCATCCGGAGTACAATCAAGAATAACAGAAAAGTACTTTGCTTCTTTAATCTTTTGGATGATTAAACTTTTGATCTCATCTGCTATTCGAAGAATAAATTCATTTTGAATTTTGTGACTAAGATAATGATAATGAATTTCTTTCTCCTGAATTCGACGAACATGCTCTTTCATTATTGGATCAAATTCGGCAATCATTTCTATTATACTTAAAAAATTTCCATTATTTTCTTCATAAAGCTTCTCATTATCTCCACGAAATGCCAAACTATTTTTAGCAAGTGTTTTCACAACAACAACTACTCTCAATAGTACTTTTCTTCAATGTTCTCGTTCTTTGTTGATTTGTTCTTCAACACTTTTATCGATTGTCACATTTTGTCGTAATCTGGTCTCTAATTCAATCCAACTCTTCATGTTAACAATGTGTTCACTACTTGTTTCATGACTTTTAAGTCTGGCACTGAGATTTCTCCAGTCTCTAACTCCATCATTTGCCAATTGAATTTTGTTTGCATCATTTTTGAACAACTTACAACAAAAACAAAAAACCTTGTCCAAAGAATTTGAATAGATTAGCCATTTTCTATTATGATATTCACCATTAGATAAGTTACGAATGTAATGTGTTGAGGAGAAATGTATGCCTTCTGAATCTTTTGGAAAATCAAGATTATCATTTCTTTTGGGACCTCTTTCAACCAGTAAGTCTCTCAATCTTTGATCAATATTTTTCCAATTTCCTGGGTCATTTATGTTTGAAGGCCTTCTTTCAAGGTTTTCTTCTTGTACCAAATCTTCATGTTCATTTACATTTTCTTCATGTTCATTTACATTGCTATTCTCATTCAAATTTCTATTCTCATTAGAATCTTCATGTTCTTCACCTTCTTCAATGGAATTTCTATTCTCATTCAAATTTTCATTAACCAAATCCTCGCTTTCTTGATTTTCAGGTTGCTCATTTTCAACATTCACCGAATCTTGAACTGAATTAGAATATATATTTCTACTACAAGTAATAAAATTTTCAAGTGCTCCCGCTTGAGATCGATTGAATTCTTCAATTTTTTGTTTCTTTATCCGCTTATCATGTCCAGACATATACTTTCGAGGAGGCATGATATCCAAATTTAATTCTGAATCTGCTACAATCTAATAAATATCGAGAAAAATAAATTAATCAAGGATTCCTACCAAAAAGCATGTTAGGGACTAAAATATATCAAATATTTAAATTGAAATTTGAAATTAAACAATAAAATCTAGTGAGAACTAATTCCAATTTCAATTTCAATTTAGGCCCTAATCAATTTCAATTTTAATTTTACAAAGCTCTAATTCTTAAACCCTAATTCCACAAAGCCCTACTTCCTAAACCCTAGTGAGAACTAAGAACTTACAATAAATCAAAAATTCTACATCAATTCACGATCTTGTCAAAAGGAGCATAGAAGTAAAGAAGAGAAGAAGTGAAACCCTAACCTTGGCTTGGTCAATGGAGGCGGGTCGGCGGCCGGCGGGCGAGATCCGAGAGGGAGGGAGGAGGACAAGGCGACAAGGACGGGACACGGCCCACGGGAGGAAGATCCGAAGAAGAGAGACGTCAGACTAGGGTTTTCATTTTTTTTTTAATATGTGAGAGGAGCGGCTGGAAACAGAGGACGGGTTGGAGAGTTGAAGATAGGGAGGTTTTGATGTGTATTTATGCTATTAGACCCCTCTAATAATTTTGCACAAAAGCCCCCTTACTTCCTCATATATATATAGGTATATATATATCTAAAAATCAGCGATTTGCTGAGGAACGGAGGATTGGCGGCGATTTGTTGAGCGGCGGGTGACGACGAATTGCTGAGCGGCGGATTTTAGATGAAGTGGCGAGCGGGGGAGTTGACGAACTGAGGAGTCGGAGTCGACGGACGGACGGTCGGAGTCGACGGACGGAGAGGAGAGGATGAGGATCGAGCGACGAGTGGGAAGGGAGTCTGGGAGTGGCGGCTGAAATTGGGAATGAGATCTAGGGTTTAGGTGATGAAAATGAAATGTGACTTGGGATTCACGGGTCGGGTCCCTGCCTCTGGAGTCTGGGGTGTTATTATCGGTCGGTTCGGTCATTTCGGGTTGAAAAGATTTCAACCCGACCCGAACTGCCATACAAGTAAAACCGAACCAAACTCTTGATTTCGGTTCGGTTCGGTCGGTTTTTTCGGTGTGGACCAAACCGTGCTCAGCCCTACAAACAGCCCCTAAGCCAAATATACCAATTCCTTTCAAAGCAGTTGAATTCAGGCAAACGAATACTAATTGTTCAAATCAAGGCTGCTTGCTGAACACTTTATTCATTATCAAGAAAAATATTGATTAAATCAGGTGCTTGTTTGAGCCTTTCACGGCTGACTTAAAGAACAGTGATGTATATAAGTACTATAGCGATACCAATACTATATATAAACTATCACCTAATAAAGGTAGCTATCTACGCTACATAATGATATAGTTCTACTATATATAGAACTTAGCGGCTTGTGATATCATAGGTATATTAAGTAAGTAGATTACGTAATATCAGTAGAAACCCCTATATATATATTAGTATATAATACATATATATTATGAGGCTATAACACCTACACGACACACATGCGCGTGCTTGCTCCCCTTTGTTGAGTCAGTATTAACATCGGGGTTTGAGAGTGATGTAGAAGGGGCTGTTTGGTGGTTGGCCACGGGGCACCCGACATGCAGTCGAGTATCCATGTGAATGAAGAGCAGCGAAAAAGCCAGTGGACAAAACTCTCAGCCCACGCGGCAAGTTACCAAGGCCACCCGAGCATATACCAGTCATAATACGTACATGTGATTTTAGGTTTTAGGGTGCAAGGGCAGAGGCACGGAACTTTGGTGCGTTGGGGCTGGTTCGTGTGCCTAGGCTGGATCGCACTGCAGGAGAAAAACACGAAGGCGCAGGAGCTTTGAGAATCTCGGCTGAGGGCATTGAGTTTTGTGCAGAAAAGAAAGTGCAGTCCTTTTTGTGCCTTTTGAGAGAGTTTTTTGTAAGAGGGATTTGAGAGTTTGTTTGAGAGGGTTTAGATTGTGAGATTGTAAACCCTAGTTGTATCTCTCCCTCTAATAGTAGATCTCCCCCCTCCTTGCCCCATGGACGTAGGCAATTTGCCGAACCACGTAAAATTTGTGTTCTTGCCGTGATTTGTAATAGCTTGTAGGATCCCTCAACAGGTCAGTCCTAGAACTGATGAGAGGAAGAGCCGATATCTCACTTTGTTGAGATATCCGCGTCAGATTCTTGTTTCCTTGGTGAGACAGAAATTCTTACGATCTAATCTCTTGTTGTGCACCTTGCGCACCGGAGGTGCTGCCGAAATTTCCGCTGCGCACAACATTTGGGTCCTCAAGTTTCATCAAATGACTAGTTCTTCAGGAAAAGGTTATGTTCTGCACACGAAGAACTTGTAAGAGGCCGGACTTGAGATCTCCGGTGGTTCCTTCGATAGTCAAGTCAGTTTAGAGCTTGAGTCAAAAAGTAAGAGTTAAGTGTTTTTTAGCAAGATCATTAGTTACCCTAGGCAGCAGACATCAGTTTCATTTTACAACAAATCAAAAGGATAGATAGGTAACTTCAGCCAAGTCAAGCTGATGGCTCAATCTTCATCTGCTTTACGCATGTTGGCCGCATAGGGGGATGAGTCACCCAGGCGCTTAATGTGAGGGTGACACAGTGTGCATTTTGCTGACAAGATCCAACGAGTCATAAAGACTTTCGGGACTGGACTGGAGCATAATGACTGATCATGCATTTAAGGTGATGACAATTGACTATCGGCGCGGGGCTCGAGGATACACCGCCTTCCGACCCGTCCCACTGAAGGCCGATAAACACCGCCTTTTTGGTCGGCCTCCTAAGTTGTCAGCCTCCCACTGCGGATTAATACTTAGTTGCATGATATAACACCTTTCAATATCAACTTCTGTAATTTTCACTATGGTGCTTCTTTTGTGAGGATGGTGAATCTAAGTGACAAAAATAAGTCATATATTGGAGGTAAAATCCTTTCATGATTAAGCGTTTAGCGTTCCAGAAATTGTGGATTGCTTGTGAGATTGCCATCCTTTTCAACTAGATCTACAACTTTACAATCCAAATCATATTTTTCATCTATTTTTAAAAGGAAAAGTCAAAATTGCACATCTAATTTTTTAGTCTTCTTTCACAAGTACTCAGCAAAAAGCTTCTAGCCTACGATATCTCTATTCAACTATAAGCCTATTCATCTTGATGATAGCGAGGCCAACAGACTTAAGAAGATTATTAAGAGTTTGAAAAGATTAAGCAAATGCTGTATCAATCATAAAAGAACTAACAGTCCTATTTTGACCAGAGTTCATTGCTTAATTGGAAAAAAAAATTCACAAAACCCCCTGATCTTCAGAAGGTATCGCGCAAATCCCATGAGCTTTACTAATCAATGAATCATTGAACTTTCAAAATCACATAATATCTATCCGGTCTATGGAAAAATCTCGTTAATAGACAGAGTAAAAACAAATATGATATCATTGTTGTAGTTCGAACTTAAAACTCTATTGGGTAATGTCATTTCCTGAGATTGTCCAATAGTTCGGACTTTAGAGGGTTTACTATAATTTTGGAAATTAAAGAGGACTTCCTCTTTATTTATAAGTTCACAAGGGTTTTGTGAAAGCCCCTAAAGTTCAAGGGGGTTGCTCTTCAATCAAGGTATGAAAAGTCAATTTGAGCAATTAAAATGAAATAAGCTAGCTATATAAATAAATACAGTTGCTATCAATGACATCACAACTCAAATAAAAAGAAACGTGTGAATCATCAAGTATCACTAGAAAAGGGGGGAAAAACAAAACAAAAGATTTACATTTAAAAAAGAAAAATACTCTTCTTCGATCCCATTTGACTATATAACCTGCTCCCCTGAAGTTGCCATTTGAACTCCTCCCTCACCCAAACAAACTCAACTACCAAAGACTAAGAACGCCCGCCCCATCCAAATATATGTTTTAGCTTTAACCACCACCAAAATAATTCCAACTACCTCAGAAAACTTCAACCCGCTCCTCCATCAAAAACCCTTTAAGAGCCCTAAACACTTGGTATAACCATTTCATCTCTTCTCCCAGTGACAAGTTCTCCTATGGCGATTTTTTCGTCGTCCACCGCGATCAAGTCTGCAGAGAAGTTCTCCTGGTGTTGCGCTCTGTTCTTTGCCTTCTTGCTCTTGGTGAGCTACTGCGAGTCGGAGGTAGGCGTTAGGTCGGCGATGAGCCACGGGCGGCCGCCGTGTGAGGAGATTTATGTGGTCGGTGAAGGGGAGACGCTGCATAGTATTAGCGACAAGTGTGGTGATCCTTTCATTGTTGAAGAGAACCCTCAGATCAAAGATGACGGCGACGTTTACCCCGGATTGGTTCTTAAGATAACTCACTTTGTGAGAAGAAATTGATATGATCATGTCCGCTAGACAGCTAATATATATATATGTTTGAAGGCAGTCTAGTTGTGATTTGTATAGTTTTTCATTGTGAATCTTATTGCGAGCGTTTCATTGAGTGGATTAGTTACAAGGAAAAGTGGTGTACATATACACTTCTGAATGATATTTGGAAAGTTTGTGCCCATGACAGAATTTATTAGCGTATGCACAATCTCACGGTTGTAGATTTTATTGTACTTTCTGGTTGTTTTTTTTTTTTGCTTTTATTTGTTTAACTTAAAAAGTTATTTTTGAGAGAAATGGACTTTTTGAGACAATAATAAATATTATTATTACTTATTTTTCGTTTGGGTGATGATGCAAGGACAGCTCTCATCGCAATCATCCCGTGACGTGAGCACGATTGCCCAGCGAAGTGTTAAGAATATAAAATTAGGACAAATTTTCAAAACCAACCTATTTGGACTTTTATTCCCCAAAAACGACCCCATTCAAAAATAATTGCAAAAACCGACCTGGTTTCAGCCCCAGCGCTGAAACCAGGTCGGTTTTTGAAAAAAACTCTCCGAAACTTCACGGGAGTTGAACTCCCGTGAAGTTTCATAGTTCAAAAAACTTCACGGGAGTTCAACTCCCGTGAAGTTTCGGAGAGTTTTTTTCAAAAACCGACCTGGTTTCAGCGCTGAGGCTGAAACCAGGTCGGTTTTTGCAAATAAAACTGAATGGGGTCGTTTTTTGGGAATAAAAATCCAAATAGGTTGGTTTTGAAAATTTGTCCTATAAAATTATGCAGTGAAAGGATTCTTAAAAAAAAAAATTGAAAATTGCATTTTTTAGATAGTCTAATTAGCATTTAAATACCTTACAGATTCTCCTATTTTGCACTTATACAATCACTTGTTTGAATATATAACAGCGAAACAGGAGGGGAAACTATAACATACTTAAGTGCTAGTTAGACTTCTAAACATTTGGGCTGTTTTCGTTGAGGAAAACATTTAGGCATAATACTACGGTTGTCAAAAGTTATCTCATTAAAATTTTGGCATGTTTAAATATACATCTCCAACTGAAAAGTAGATATTATTTACTATAAATCAAATAATAATTATATTGTAAAAAGATATATACAAAATTTAATCTATGGTCATATATTTTTTTCAGAAATTTTAATCACCCTTTAAGACCATAAATCTCATGGTTTGTTAATTAGAAAGGCATCACATGTAGTATCACCCGATTGCCAATAGACCCCTCATATGTCTATTTTTTGCCAATAGATCCTCCAAAGTAATATTTTTTGACACTTAAAACGGGTAAAAAAAATCTAAGGAGGTGGGTAGGCCTCCTATAATTATATTGGTGAGGATAGATACTCACTTTAAAAAAAAAATTTATAAAAGAGTCAAAATTTTTACTAATGTCATCTATTTGCACCTATGCCAATGCTACAAGGGTTTATTCTTCACACATAGGACTATACGAGGGTTTATTCATAATTGTGTGATACTACAGAGTGGCTATTGGCAATTAACGCTAAAAATAAAATAAAAAAGGCAATTAACGCTAAAAATAAAATAAAAAAGAAGATGGAATCCCAAATAACGAAAAGAGTATCACTCAAAGGTCACAATTTCACGAGTAGTTCAGTTGTTAACCCTTCGGCAATTATGAGATTAGTTCCTGGTTCGATCATCTCCAGCCATAAAAAAACCCCCGCAACGGAAGCGGGTCGGAATGTCTACCAAATTATCAGACCAGTACCCGTTCTTTAAAGTAGCGGGTATGATCCAATAACAAACCTATACAGAGCGGGTCTGATCCAATAACAAACCTATACGTAGTTCTAAATGCCCCCATGAGCATCGTATTCGATTCTTTTTCCCTCAAATTTTGATTTCTAGGTTAAACCCCCCTTATGGCCTAGAAATTCGATTTCTAGGGTTTAGGGTTTCCAGATGGATAGGGGCGATGGGGATCAGCACGAAAACAAGGGCGTCTTGGTCTCCAAATTCGATCCGTTGGTGGAAAATTTCTTAGCTTCCATGGATTCAATTAGAGAGCTCTGTGGATTGCCTGACGAAGAGAGCTTTGATGCCAGCGAGATCGAGCGGTTCTCCTCAATGATCACCTTCTTGGAGTGAGATACCAACTTTATTGCATTTTCTTACAAATTAATTTTTGAATTATGGATATTTATTTTATTTCCATACGAACACTAATTTGTATGAAAGAGGCAATTTTGCATCCCTTACATTATGACGGGAAATTGCTTTTATGAACTTCTTGTTGGAAAAGTAGTTTTATTTATTTATTTTTTTGTGGATTTTGTTAAGTAATTTGCTCTCAACTCACGATTGAAATACTGTAGATAAATACATGAGTTCTTAATGGTAATGTTGATGTCATTATATACACAGAGAATGGGAGTATTTTGCTTATGAGCCGAAAACCATCAGTTTTGCTTGTGAAATTGGAGGTGGACAGTTTGAGGAGGATATTGGTGAGATAACCTTGCCCCCGTTCTCATCTGCAGCTGTTCCTAAGGTAAGATATACTGAGTTTGTACCACACCACGTTAATATAAAGACAAATAAGGCATCAATTTGACTGTTGGCTCCTCCACTGCAGTTAGAGAATCCACCCGGCGAAGCAATGTCTTTGGATAGGTATTTTTGTTATTACATGTTCTTCTGGAATAAACAATTTAATAGCCCATGATTATTTAAATCTCATAATCTAGAGCATTTTTGCCCCTTGATGCTTATCTTTTATTTGTGAGAGTTTGTTTTCTCCTTTTGTTTAGATTGGTGGGATACCAGTAAAGCAACCTAGTGTGCATAAGCTATCTAGTTGCTTATGGAAGCTCTTAGGGTTATGATGTCCATCTCCTTGCTTTTTTAATGAGTGGACTTTAATAAATCCCTGTTCCTGTTGGGACTCATTTTTCATAAATGCACAACTGAAAAGAGTAATTTGAAGGCCTGATTTTGTTGAACGGTGAACTTAAAAGGAAGAGCATGAAGGTCTGGAATTTGTTTAAAGTTTTAATTAATTTTTTACGCAAAAAATGTATTTGATCTATTTTAATTCTTTATCTAAACTACTGTTTCTATCTTTCTGGGTTTAGCACCTGATGTTCGTAATTGTTTACATTATTTGTTTGAACACTTCTATGTGTTATTTTCCTACAAGTTTTTTATTGAACATTTCTATGAAAGCCAATGACCAGAAAACAAGCAAAAATACATGGTCATAGACTACATTGCATAGCTTGTGAGTACTTCTATCATGAAGCATTGGTATCATGAAGCCATACATCTAGTGTCATGTTTAAACTGATGGCTTATTTTCGGTACATCCAAACAAATATTTTTGTATCATATTTTTCAAACTATATGTCACAGACAATACATTCATATTGATGGTATATCCATAGTTATTTGACACATTATATATGAGAGGGACACTTACGTTCGAAAAATTTGTTTCTAACACCTTATATATGAGAGCGACTCTTGTCTATGTTGAATTGGCATCATACAACAGTTCTTTTTTTTAATTAATTTCTTTAATTTCAATCTACAACAGCAATTACTTGTTATGATCTCATAATATATTGTATTTCAGTTCATTGTTTGCTTTGTATTGATCTTTGAGAAGTATAAAACTCTTTATGTTTTCATGTTATCAGTTTGCATGTGTAGCATGTTTAATAGAACTAGCTGTCTTTTCATTTATGCTCAGATTTATGCATAAAAGCTGAACTTAGATGCAATTCTAACAATGCCAGTGAGAAACTATTCCTACAGTGATTTTGTGTTGCACGCGGGGGGACTTGTTTGGGCTATGGATTGGTGTCCCAGGAACCAGGAGAATTCTGGCAATAATCTTAAATGTGAGGTAACATATACTTCCATCCTCAAGTTTCTCTTCTGCTTGCTGTTAGTATATGTGACTTTATCTTTTTTCTTGAAGTTTTAGCATTTGTTGCATTATCTTCTTCTGCAATATTAGCCTTTCTCAGTTTTTGATTAAATAGATGCAGGCTTCTGGTGAACTATTTGTCATGCTACAAGCAAAATATTGTAGACATGTAAATTCTTGAATTAATCATTCCACAACAGCTACATATTAAAGATTCACACCCATCTTTAGCATTTTATAGATGTTTAATCCTATCATGCCACCACCGTGTATTTGCCTCTAGATATCCTGCCTTTGCTCTCAAGCTTTTAGTCTGCACTTGTCCATTATTTACGTTGGGTTTGTGATTTGATGAAGATGGTAGAGGAGGAACCTGATGTTGAAGGTTAACAATGGTGTTACTTAGAGGACATAGCAGACGAAATCTTATTAACTGAACAACTATTAAAACACTACATTCTAGTTTGAGTGAGCTTTACCCATGTTTAACTGAATTTGGTCCCTTTCATATATAATGACTCATGTTCAGTCAGGTGAATCCACCTCAAATGCTTGGCCATAGTTGTGCACACTAATAAGTCTGAGCATGGCAGAGTTTCTTGGCTGACATACGTATGCATGAGGCTGCAATTACATGTTTGTAGACACCAGATCAAGGAAGTGAAAGAGGGATAGACTAGTTAGGAGGAGAGAAAGCTGTAACTTTGGCTATAAAAGTCTTCATTCAGGTGAATTCACCTCAAATGCTTGGCCACAGTTGCGCACAGCCGCACACTAATAAGTCTGAGCATGGCAGAGTTTCTTGGCTGACATATGTATGCATGAGGCTGCAATTACATGTTCGTAGACTCCAAATCAAGGAAGTGAAAGAGGGATATTCTAGTGAGGAGGAGAGAAAGCTGTAACTTTGGCTATAAAAGTCTTCATTAGATTTAATTGCAAAATAAGAGACCTATTGAAATTTAATTTTTGATACTTAAATCTTTCAGAAAACATGATCTCTGGTACTAGATCACGTATGATTCTTAAGAAAGGGGGTAAATAAAGTTAATGATTTGGTGTCTACTAACATGTAAAACACCATGATTCACTCAATATTCAGTTCCTTTCTCATTGGATTTCCCGTGGTCAACACAATCCTGAACTCACAATCCTACATTTGCACTGCTACTTCCATCATTCTAAATCTTTTAGGTTTCCATGTAAAACACCATGATTCACTCAGTATTCAGTTCCTTTCTTATTATATTTCCCGTGGTCAACACAATCCTGAACTCACAATCCTACATTTGCACTGCTACTTCCATCATTCTAAATATGGTTATTGTAAAATGTTTATTTTCATTCTCTTTTATTCCTGTTTCGTCAAGTATAAATTAGAAACCCTGAATCTTTTAGGTTTCCATGTAAAACACCATGATTCACTCAGTATTCAGTTCCTTTCTCATTGGATTTCCCGTGGTCTAACACAATCCTGAACTCACAATCCTACATTTGCACTGCTACTTCCATCATTCTATGCTTAGGTCAAAATTCCAAATGCTTAGCCTCAATACAATTCTAGAAATTTTCTCTCTCCTTTTTGTTTGTTTTTACATTGTTCTGTTACATGTAACCTTTTGTGTATCAGCCTGGTTTGTTTAGTAAATACACTGACATGGATAGAACACCAGACATCTACATGCAATGGATTTTAAAATTTATTCACAAATTAGAAGTACTATGTCTCAGACAGTTGTTCAAAACATGTCCGATGCATGTCAGTACGACACATTCATGCTTGAAAATGTCATGTCAGTGCTACCTTCATTTTTGTAGTTCTTTTGCCATTCTTAGAAGTGGATGTGTTGCCCATCTGATAGGCCAGAGTTAATCAAAATCTCTAACTGAATACATTCTGTTGAAAGTCTAGGTTAGGTGTGTTTGTTGTCTTTGCTGTAGAATTTCAGAGGGGTGTTGGCCTGTTAGGTTGAGGGAATGGAGTGGGGAGATCTACTGTTTAGAAACGACAACTCAATGTTCAAATGACCTGCCATAACTCGTATATACCATTGACCAACTCTAAACCATGTTCCCATATGTATGTGTGTGGGTGGTTGTGGGTGTGGATGTGTGCACACTTGCATGGATGCATGCGTGTGTGTGATATTTTACAGATCTGTTCTGTCCTCTGCTAAATTTTATATCAGAATGCACTGACACTAACCTGAGAAAAAAACTAATAATGTTGTTAACAGAAACGGTGGGTTTCTTTATGATCTGCTAAGTCATTCAGCTTGCTATATTTCCGGTAATTTTAATATTTCTATCCCTTCAGTATTCTGTGTTTATATTCCTTTAAAAAGTCTTCTTAACTTTTGCTGATTTTACTTGCTTTGAACTTGCTGTGAGTGTATGTAAGTATGTATGGCTTTTGATATTGCTTGTGATACTTATACAGTATGTGGTTAGTTAGTTTTTTTTTTCCTTTTTGGAATTTATGTTGCATGCATGCAGTTGATTTTGAATTTTATTATTATTATTAATGATCTAGTGCTTAATAAGTTCCAAAAATAAATATGGAGGGTGCTTTCAACTATTATCTCTTAGTTTTCTTATCTCTACTTTTGATGCATTTGTTTTTGATAATCAAGAACTTGCCAGGAAAAATGGTTTAAGTAGTACTTGATGTAGTTGGTTATTTTCTCTCTGGTGGTTGGTCCAATAGTTGCCTTCCCCGTTTCAGATAGGTGATTTTTTGTTTGGCTGATAGATTATATTTTCGCTTGCACGTGAGTTTTTATTTATAGCAGTTATATATTGCGATTTGGAACTCTTTCTTTGCAGTATCTCGCTGTCACTGCCCACCCTCCTGCTCACACTGCTGGTTCTATTTATCACAAGATTGGTGTCCCATTGACTGGAAGAGGTATCATTCAAATATGGTGTCTTGTAAGTTTGGAAGAAAATGCTGAAATTTTGCAAGGGCCTCGAGAGAAACGAGGCAGAGGGAGACCTAAAGGTTCTTACGAAAACGGACCATCAAAAGGAAATGAGGAATTGACCGTTCAAAGACCCAGAGATAGGCCTGAAGAGAAAGTTGAAGGAAGAGGTAGAGGGAGACCTAAAGGTACTTGCAAAAACAGACCATTAAAAGGAAAGGAGGAATTGACCATTCGGAGACCCAGAGGTAGGCCTAAAGGGTCTGGTAAGCGGTCTGGTAACAAGCAATCACATGCCGGTGAGATCAACTTGAATCAAGAAATGGATTTAGCCTCATCTGGTGATAAACTGGTGCCAAGAATGAGCAATTCGGGAGGAGCAAGTGCATTGGAAACATTAGTTCCGAAACGTAGGGGAAGACCTAGGAAGAAACTTGTCACAAGTCCAAGCGAGGATGCTCCAGTGAGTAAAGATATTGTGGCGCTACCTGTTTCAGCTGATTTGAATGAAAATATTGAAACATCTATGCTCAATTCTAGAGGGAGACTTGGAAAGAAACCAATTTCAAGTGCAGATGAAGGTGCCCAAGCCTTTGCTGTTGACCCTGGGAGAGATGTATCTGCTCCTTCCACTTCAAGTGGACTTGGGACTTACAGTGGAGGTAGAGAAGACTGTGAACACACTGTTCCAATGGCAAATGGACCTGATGATGGGGTCTTAAAGAAAATGTGTAAGGGCCTCAACAGTTGTCCCGTGGCAATAACAGATGATACTACTACACAGAGAAAGAAAAGAAGAGTAAAAGACAAGGAATGTTTTGTCTCTCATCTGAACATTGATCAGCATTTATCAGGTGATGAACACAAGGAGTTTGCAGTGGTAGTGGCGCCAACAAATGACGAGTTGATCCTAAGCAAAGAAATGACTGAGAGATTCCATATTCCAAATCATACTGCTTTGCCCAAAGTTGTGTTTTGTCTTGCTCACATGGGAGAAGTTGCATGGGATGTGAAATGGAGACCTGTCAGCAGTAGTGATCCGGTAGACAGGCACCGTCTTGGTTATCTTGCTGTTTTGTTGGGAGATGGTTCTCTGGAAGTGTACGTGGACATCATTTCTGCAATTTTGTTAATTTAAATTTTCCTTTGCAGACGCTTAACATCACTATGTTGGTCTCCTAATTTACTTTGTCTCTTGATTTTGTTATAGCTAATAATGGTTGAAGGAATAATCATTTTGTTTAATCATCTTGTTTACAATAAGTTTTTTATTAGGACTTTTGGAAGTGTTAGAAGAGTAGATAATTTTATGCCGAGCCCTTTTTTCTTAAATGATCCTTTTCATGATCAAACAACTGTTGGTTCTATTTGAATACATGTCTTCTGTGAAGGCGATGGCCATTTTTTGGCTGTAAAAACAAGGTTCTATGAGTTCAAGCAGCTGATGGTAGAATGGCTCCACAGCTTTGTCTGCTTTGTGATGGATGTGATGCATCCTGCATGACCTGGAATTCATCACTTCCTATTAGGGTCTTCCCTTGATTAAATAACTAGTATTTCCAACCATAATCCATTATTTATCTAATTCAAATATCTGACACTGCTTATATTTCAACAGTGGTTATTGCTACTGCTAATCTGAGGATCATTATCTTATTTTCTTGTATGGTCTGCAGTCACATCTATAGGAAGTCACTGATATTGATTGTATTCATTGTAGTATGGTAATTGAAAGGGTAATTGAAAGTGTTTTGTTGCCTGTCAAACTAAGTTGTTAAGGTTATTCTATGGTTGTACTTTAGTTTGGAATGCATCTTAATGATTTTGTTTTTGTTTCGGTGTGATCGGTAATTTTATTTATTTCAAAATTGTGTTGCTTATTTTAGAAATTATTTAGCTACCTTATTGAATTTCTTTTGCAAGATAATTTCTCCTTCAATTTTCCTTTGAAGAGTACCTTTGTTATCTTCCTGATGCTGGTCAAAGATTCATGGATTTCTTAATGTTCTGAGCACTGCAGTGCAACTTTTGGTTATTAGTAATTTTCTGTGACCAATCCTAAAAAAAATATTAGGTTATATGATACCTTTCAGAACTTTAATAGTGTTTATATATTTCTCTTCATATAATATCTCAATCTGGTACCTCTATTTTGATGTTTGCTTGGTGTAACATTACCATACCCATTTCCAGCAGGCCTTCTTGATACTGTAATAGTATGTCTACAGCCTCTGCATACTTCTCAATTACATTATACCAAGAAAAAGGTTTCAGATGTTGTCTTCATTTCTAGTGTGGAATAGTCTAAAACTGGACATATAGTTTCAGTTTTGCTAAGTTTTATCTGGTGCATATATGTATTGGTCGTCTTTGGTTTTCTCCAGGGCTAGTTTCCTGCGGTTTCTGCAAGTTCAAGTGGAATTTATCAGAACTTATCTAATATTGAAGGGTGAATAGGTGCTAATGTTCTTAGTTGTTAATAATGTCATCTGCCTTTGACTTCTATAGCCATCCATATCTGTTAATCTGATCTATTGCTATTTGATGTATTTTTCTATATTCAAATGTAATCCTAATTTTAATTTTTAATTAACAAGATTTAGGGTCCCCTACACTTTGTTAATTTTGATTAACTGGTGATTGCCGTAAATCCCTTTTGATATAGCACCTACTTAGCTTATACGTTCAGGTTCAGATATCACGCTCTTCACTTGCAAAGAAGCAAAAATGGCTGCATATCCAGTGGTTATGAATGAATACTTAGTCTACATGTTTATCGGAAGCAGAACCTGAACATGTAAGGAAACCTTTGAACTACGTAACCTATGAAAACACTTTATACCAAGGTTCATAAACTGAGTTTTGGACCTTCACGGTATAAATTTTATGGAATGATTGATACGAAACCGAACTGAAACCGAATTCTCGAGCTTTGTATTATACTGGAAACCTTGTATTCTTCTCTGCTGCCTTACCGAATACGTTGGCTATTGCTTTTCTGCTTTCTATTTTATTCTGATAGCAATGTTATGCTTGTTAATATTTCATTTGCAGGTGGGAAGTTCCTGATCCTAGCATGGTGAGGATATTTCATAGTTCCAGTCACTCCAGTGGTACTGATCCTCGGTTTTTGCAAGTGAAACCTATATTTAGATGTTCAAAAGTGCTATTTGGAGACAGGCAAAGGTAAATTGAGTTGGATGTATTTTTTTCTCATTTATTACTTTTGCTGCTTGAAAGAATTATTTGAAAAGCTATAGCGAAACCAAGGAGAGAAGAGGTGTCTGGGGATTGTTTGGGGGTGAATTGTTTGGGGGTGAATTGTGTTTCTTCATATTACTTTAATGAGAATGAAGAGAGAGAAAATTAGTATAATAACTATTCAAATTATGCAATTAATAACATTTGAAGTGTGATATAAGTTTATAATAAGCAATTAAAGTGAAGCAAGTAGGAGATAGGTAAATGATGGGAGCCAATATTATGCTAGATGTGTCAAATATTTGATAGTGATTTAGATTGTGCATTGACTCCATTACTTAAATGTATCAAGATTTCAAATCTCCTAAAAAAGACAGCTTCACCCTTGGATTTCAACTCTTTTAGATGTAATGATTCTAATGAATCTCTACTATTTACCTGGATGACAAACAAAGCCTAACTCAAATTTCAAATAAAAATACAAGTTGAGGTTTGATAGTGATTTGAGCTGGCAAAATGCATAGCACGTCGTGGTTTGTGCTTGGACTTGGATGTAATTGCAAATTTTAGAGAGGAATATTGTTTAGTATTTCCCTAGAAATGAATAGCCTATTGAGAGACTAAGACAGTGATCAGCCAGTATTAGTTCTTTGGGACAACCTGTCAGATGAAAATATCTTACCTAGCTGTGACCAATGAAACCCAAAAAAAAAAATTTCAAGTTTGCACGAATAGGTCAACTCAGGCTGATGTAAACCAAGTAGTTCAAATATTTCTTGACAAGTACGTAATGTTTCTGTCAGTTGGCTTGATGAACCAAAAGATGTAGCGCCAATATATTTCAGAAACATTGCAGGTCAAACTCAGCTACTAGCCTGCAGTTGCTGAAAGTTCTAATTCTTAGAAGTATCTGGATTTGGATGATCTATCAGTCCTGCCAAAGATGATTGTAACAGGCTTTATCCTTGATCGCTTGATCTATTCTGGGATCATACTGTCTGCTCACTACTCAGTCCTTCTAGCAGGCAGCGTACCTAATCACCTCAGCATTTAAATGATGTTAAGGTTTTTGGTCATGAATGAATATTTCCCAGAGTCTAGTTCAAAGTGTGAGACTTAATCCAACTTCTTCCAAGTTCCAATGCATAGTGAAAATATATCTATTAAAAAATATATATATAAAGCTCCTTACCTCAAAAGGGAAGGAGTAAGGAAACTGGTGCCTCAGTCTCATCTGTCTTCATGCGATTTGAACATGCAAGCAGTTTATCCATCTCTTTAAGGTGTTCCGTGACCTACTTAGCACACAATACAAGCACTACACATACCTATTTAGTCCTATCCGGACACATGAGTTTGAGTCAGGTTCGGGTTAGACTATGAACTCTGATAAGGATTTCTGCTATGAACCCGTATCATGTAAGACACATGGTTAATTTCTGTGACTCACCGCTTCTTGCAGTTTTATGTGCATGAGCCTATCATACATTGGCTGTTTGAGTAGTGATTTACTCTTCTGTTCTTCCTTAAATTAGACATCATCCTGACCAACATTTACAATTTACATGCAGACGCTTTCATGAGTTTTAGAGATTTATACACCATGCAAAATATGCACACATTCTGGAGCTGTGGTCCAGCTGAAATTGCAGAATGCTTTTTAATTGATTTACTTTATATTTTGCTCTCACCTATACCATCTGGTTTATGCAGTATTCCTCTGACATTGGAATGGTCACCATCAGCTCCTCATGATTTAATTTTAGCTGGATGCCATGATGGAACGGTAAATGCTAGTTGCAGATTGTACTATTATCTTGTCCACTTTATTTGGTTAGCGGACTGTGTTGCTTATTATTCTGAAAGTGCACAGGAGCAATCCTATCCATTAACGAATATTTTCCTGATGAAGCACTACATTAAGAAGAAAAAAAATGATTAGATCTTACTTGATCTTCCTATTGTGAAATTTACCTTTTTTCTATCATGTATCCTATCCTTATGCTACATCAATGTTTCTTTTACATTTCATAGATCATTTCTATCCAGGAGCTCTGCAATTCAGAATTATACTGTATGCAAATGCTTAGGTGGTTTAGCTGATCAGCTTTCTTATATTCAGGTTGCCTTATGGAAATTCTCTAAGCAACACTCATCACAAGGTAAATTTGTTGGGGAAAAGATTGTTTCTAAATTTACGTGTCAAAACATAGCCTTTCAGCTACAACTTGTTATTAGGACAGGATAATTGTTAAATTGCAAACTCCTTGTCTTCTTCCGAATATCTAATCAAACATGAACTTAACGGGGCAACTTCTGCCACAGATATGAAGCCCTTGCTTTGCTTCATTGCGGACTCTGTACCTATTAGATCTGTTTCTTGGGCTCCAGATGAAAGGTATTTGGTACTTTGACGCTTTATTCATTCTTCAATGGGTTAACTTCTCAATCCTGTTTTAGAGCTTTGTGGACTAAAGAAATGTTCCTACCCTAATATTGTATAACCTCAAATCCATTGTGTTTACGAACCTGATGGATAAGTTTGTTATGGTTCATGCATAGTACTATTATAAAAATGTGCAAGTTAAAAAAAAAAGATGTCCTAAAGCAACCACTGAAATACAGATTTAGTTAATCTATTCTTTATTCTCATCTCTTACTCATACCTGATGGATAATTATTTAAAAGATTAGAAATAGTTCAAAATTTACAAAATTGAGTTTTTTCCTACTTGTTCTAAAATAATAGGAAAAAGTTGATGAAAATTGGTAGCTCTTTTTTCTTTTCTTTTTAAAAATTGTTGGAAATTCATTCATCTAGTATGTCATATTGTACATCATACAACATCAGATAGAACATTTAGTAGTAGTTCACAAAATAGTAGCTCAGAGACTCAAGAGTATATTAGTATTAATTTATAAATGGAACAATGTCAGAACTCGAACAAAAATTTATCTATGTGAATCTGGTTTATTCTGTTTATATGTTAAACCTTTTTTTTGCCAATATTAACTAATCCAAATTACACATAAGGCTGAGATGTGGTTATTGTTTAAAACTTAAGGCTGAATAGTGTATGACATATAACCTTTAATGATAACTCACTGCAAAGTGCGAACTCAATCAATTGTGAACATTTATCCATATACATGTTGTGTGGGTATTTTCCCGTATGAAGCCGCATCCATACCCAACACCTATTGTATCCATACCGCACACTATCACAGTATCACTTCTTCATACATTTATTCAGACCTGTACTCAATTATATAATGCATATTTTTATATAAAAAACTTGTTATACACTTCTTGGATATTTATCCTAACACGTCACATCTTCTCCCAGAAACTCCTTGGACATATTGTTTTCACTCCATGCCCAGTTCAGAACTATAATTTTTAAGGTTGGTTGTGTATCATGTTAGAAGACGAGTGGCTTTCCAATTTATAATGCAACATATAAAAGAAACACATTATGGATTTCTGTTTAGTTATGATTTCTTCCTAGTTAATAGCTTCAAGGTTGACATATTCAATATTAAGCCAAACTAGTGCTTTTAGAATGTGACTCATTTAATTCTGTGATCTTATTTAGCTTCTCTCATGATAGTTTACAATGGGATACTAAGAATTTGAAATACATGGAATTTTTAAAACTACAATATTGACTGGACTGAGAAGAATGGTGTATGATATATTAAAGATTTATATAATCGCTGCTATTGATTATTAATTTGAGCTTACTTCAGCCACAAGCTCGGTTCATCAGCTTGTCAATCGTCCTTTATTCTTGAACTGTACTATTATTTTAACATTACTTTTTGGAATATAATCAACCTCGTATTTTCTGGAAAAATTCTAAGAAATGTACTATTATTTTGTAAATAGGTAGATTTATGCTGCCATTCATCACAAATGGAAAGCTATGTTTATACTCTATTCTATCTAACATCACTACAATATTTTATGCAGCGACGCAGAGAGTGCAAATTTAATGGTGACTGCTGGACATGAAGGTCTAAAGTTTTGGGACATACGGTATGTTTTCACATGTAGTTTCTGTGTTGTGGCTCTAGAAATGGCTCCTTGATTGGGATGTCTAGGCCATTATATTCTAAAAAATTGTTTCTTATTGATGCAGAATTTGACCTAATTTAGCAGTATTTGGTCATTCACACATAGTGACTCTCAATGTGTAAATTAAACAGGGGCATAAAATGAGCATAGAGTTACATTATCTTAAAGATCATGAGAAAGTTGCAACTTATAACCATTATAACTAAAGGAAATTAACTGCAAATTTATGGTTCATATGATCATGACTATGACTTTTGCATAAAACATATAAGATGACACTGTCTAGTTTATTTAGCTTATTATCAATTGGTGCTATTGAGTATAAGATATAAGAAAATACCGTCCAAATGGTGCTGTGCTCTCCAAGAAGGGAAAAAAAAAACATTCATCATAATCTACAATATGTGTACCTTAATACATCTAAAACTAGAATTTGCTATCTTTTGAGAACTTCTTGTGTATGGATCAGACATATCTATTTGTCTTGTCTAAGGTATATTAATCTTCCCATTGCTTAATGAATGGGTAATATGTTGTAAAAATACACACAGTTTTATTGCGGAACCTTAAAAACATGCAGATCAACAAAACGAAGTCGTCCAATTATATTGTGTGCTATGCATTTTCATAAGTGGGCCCAACTAAACTAGTAATGACTGGGGGCCTCTATTTCTCTAGGTATGTGTGTGTATCCATCTTTTAGGACATGCATTCTCACGTTATGATACTTGGAAAATATTCATTATTTATATTAAAGGGAAAATATAATTGAGTACTTTGAGCAATGATGACTGGTTACAGGTGACATGATTAAATTTCTTAAGATTTGAGGATGGTCTCTTTTTGAGTAAGATGTAGTCTCTTGTACTTGGATTATAAAATCAGATTTAAAATATATGACTGAATAAGCCAGTGAAGCATTGTTACTGTTGATGAGATGGCTAATGTACCAAGCAAAATATTGAAGACAAGTTAGACCTGTCATGTTACTGCTTATGGTTCTCATTCTGTTTTTCTCCTCTATGCAAACTCATTTAGATGCATCTTTTTTATTTTTATTTTTCAGGGATCCATATCGGCCTTTGTGGGAGTTTTATCCTGTGCAAAGATTTATACTCAGTCTGGAGTGGTTAAAGGATCCTAGGTAACATATCTCTCTCATGTGTAAGGCGTGAAATGCATTTCTCTATTTGCTTTCCTTTTCTTTTGTTGCTTCATCAGTCCACTTTTGCAACTCTTCATGAGTTCATTGGGAAAGAATACGAGGCCACGAGTTATGTTGTTAACTCCTGTATGGTCAAATTTTCATAATTAGCAGATGCTCTACCTCGTATTTTACAGTAAATTGGAGGAATGTCAGAGTATAAACACTTTTTAAATAATTACCAGGCATTTCTTTAAACATGTGTTCTTTATCTCTCTGCGTGAATTATCATGAACTCACCAGGCGTAATTCAGGATGATTTCCTATGGTGCATGTTGTTTGGTGATGATATAATGTTAGTTAATGGGACTAGAGAATTCAATTATAAAACTAGAAAGATGGAGGGAAGTTTTGGATTCTAAAGGATTTAGAATAATTGAACAAAAATGGAATAACGAATCTCACTTCAGTAAAATCAGGAAGAGTAATGAGTACACAATATAGATTTGACTATTAAGTAGTTTGAAGTGACTCCTCCATCATTAAGATGTTGAGTTGAAGGGGGGGCAATTTACAAAGTCAACTGTCAAAGAATGTCCAGGTAGGATAGTTATGTTGATATATGGCTTACAATTGAAAAGAAGCAGCAACAAAGCTAAGAGGGGTTCTACAGTGCTCAGTTGAACCCTCTCGTGGACAAGAAGTTGCAACTCCCGGTATCCTTCAGCACCGTTTTCCACGGGGGGAAGTAGAAGACGACAGGTTTCAACAGGCTTGGTAAAATTTTTTTGTAACCCAAGCTGAAAATCGACTGTGTTTTCACCAACTAAGTTCAACCATGTCATGTTTACCGATTTAGAATCTTTATGCGGTCAGGATTTGAATTCGAGTTTATTGAGTAACTTTTGTTGCAGGAAAAACTCTATAAATGGGGTTTTCCATCAGGTCTAGGGTATCCAATCTCCAAGGCTTTATACTTTAGAGAGAGGCAAAGAGAGAGAAGAAAGATCAATATTCTTGTGAGGATTTGGAAGAAAGAGATGTCTAATTGTAATCTTCTTCGATATAGTACATATAGTTCCCCCCTTCATCTCGTGTTCTTGCTGTGATTGCTTGTTGGTTTGATTGTTCTTTGTTTTCGTGATCGTCAAAAGGTTATCCGCAATAAATCCTAAGGTGTTGGTAAATCCCTACAATTGGTATCAGAACAATATTGATTCTAGCAAACTCTAATAACTTATGCAGTGTTTCTAGATATCTATGTGATTGTAGACTGTTCATGGTGTTTAAGAAAAATTCTATAGGATGGCTAGAAGACTATCATTACTTCCAATCGAAGGCCAAATGGTTAATCAAAATAGATGTCCTCAGTGTGTGTTAGATTTGAGAATATTAAGTTTGGTGAAGAGAAATGCAAAGAGATGAATAAGAAAGATTTGCATGACATGTAATACTACTGCACTTAGACATGTAATACTATAACCTGAAAAGTACTGTATTTTGTTGATTGGATTTAAAGTACTGTTTCTTGTTTATCTTACATGTGATTTTGGCTATTTCCATAGATGTCTCGTCATGTCACTTGATGATGGAACTTTGAGGATGCTTAGCTTGTGGAAAGTGGTAAATGATGTTCTGGTTACTGGAGAAGCCTCTAGCACAGTGAAACAGTCTGGACACCATACCTACAATTGTTCACATTTTGCAATTTGGAGTTGCCAAGTGTCACGAGCAACTGGTACGATCATAATATTTTTTTTGTAAAATATAATTAAGGCAATGATATTTTATTAAAGCAATGGTATTCTATTAAATCACATGATTCACATGGGACAAAGAAGTGATAGAACTCATCTTTATTATGACTGGTCCATTTCACAATTTGACATATACCGACATCACATAAACCTCAAATGTTTTATTGAAATACTAAAATGTTGTAGGTATCTATGACCCATTTGATCATCTCATAATCCTTGTATCTGGTTAACATTTCAACAAGCTGTAGATTAATATATATTATAAATAATGTTTGAGTCAAGTGTGTTTTTTGTAGTTTTAGATAGATACATGCATAGAATAGTCTGAATACCTTCATCTAAATGCTTCGATGGCCTAACTCTTTCACAGCATAAATTCTGGATGAAGGAAGATGGTCATGTTAGGTACTTTGATAAGCACAGACCTAGCATGGTCATGTTTTCCGGATAGTTAGCTAGAGATTTATTCTATAAGTTAGAGAAGAATATTTGTATTTAGATATTCTTATTATATTTTCGCTCGACTTTTTTCCCCTTGCTTTTATTGGTATCTTCCTTATAATATTCAATTAAGAAGAATATGCGAAATCCAACTTGGTCCACTATCTGAAGCTCTTCAGAAGTCATCATGCAGGCTTTTTACCGGAGTGATTAAGGTTGCAGTGATCAATAGCTTGTATATCAGTGTAGTTCATTGACGTATTCTTCCGGTTTTGTGTTCAGGTCTTGCTGCTTATTGTACTGCAGATGGCGCTGCCCGGTTCTTTAAGGTATCAAGACACCCAGAAAGAATCTTCTACGACACTAGAAACTAATTATTGTGACAATATCTTCACATTAGTATCTTGAACCGTGCACTAATTCTGTTACTTCACTGTTTAGCTAACCGTGAATGCTGTTGAAAAAGACTCAAGTCGGTACCGTCAGCCCCATTTCCTTTGTGGTTCACTCGCCAGCGATGGTAGAATTTTGAAGATCAAATCCCAACTGTCTAAAGATCCCTTGCCAAACATGCCATTGAAGAAAGTGCCAACTGGGATGGGAGATGTCGCCCTTTTCAGTTTTCTCTCTGATCCGAATCAAGCGAGAGGAGGTAAAGCTCACTTCCTCTCGTTGGCAAATATTATTCATAATGGAATTCATTCTTATTTTTGTCTGAGTTGTTTTATAGGAGATAATCAAACTCCTCCAAACGCGAACTCCAAATCGAAACCCAGACACAACAAAAATAGATCTGGGAGCAAGGAAGCGGATCCTGGCCAGGTACCGTGCCAAGAGTTAATAACAGTGGAGACCACTGAGAAAACAGAAGAAGGATCAGCACAAAAGAATGAAGGATTACCTCCCAAAGATGTGGCACTACACAAAGTAAGATGGAATATGAATAAAGGAAGCGAGAGATGGTTGTGTTATGGTGGAGCTGCTGGAATAATTAGATGCCAAAAAATCTCATTGGATATACCACAATGAAGACAGAATCAGAAGCGTATACTACTAACAATAGTGGGAGCCCCCACGATAAGTTTTTTCGTGTTAATAGAAGGTAATCTGTATCGTGATTGGTCGCATGTCAGTCTTGTTTAAGGAGAATTGGCAAAATGTATTTATATGGTGCGGGGACGTTGCAAGTTCGAGCTCCAGAAAGAAGCAACAGGACGAACAAGTAGTCCTGTTAAAAGAGAATTGAGTATTAGTTAGTTAACAGCGGGCAGCGAGAAGCGCTTTGAATAATTATTGGTGATTATTGTAGCATTGTCATGTTTATTTTAATCAGCTATTAATAAATGGCCACTGATGTTAGACGTACGAGACCTTGACGTATGTATGTTTAAACGTTGGACATGATAAATGTATAAACATAGCTAATCGTTTATGAATGCATAGATTTATTCTTTGTATGTCCGTATTATTATAAAATACGGGACCTATTTCATAAGATTCCCCCACCCCATGGAAGCAACCTTTTTAACGGTAATTCTATAGAAACAGCTCTTTATTATTAATTTACTAGGTTTTATGCACGTGTAATGCATGTGGTTAAATATCATAATTATTTATATTTAGTTTATTTCCTTACTAAAATTTGTTCTTTGATTTTAGTTTGATAGTTTTTACTCTTTTGTCTCTAAATTTTAATATTGTGATTATTTATATTTTTTAATATTTTTTTGAATAAGCTATACTCAATTTCAAGTTTCATGTTGATAATTGAACTGACACGAAACCAACATGAAGCCAATTTGAATATTTATATTATTTGGATTGACATGAAAGGAAGTTTTACCTATGGAAGTATAGTGTTGTAAAAGTCAAAAAAGACTTGAAAAAATAGCATTATAATAGCAAGCAAAATAATTAAAGCCAACAAGCCTAGACAACTAATTAGGAGTGGCTAAAATAACACAAAAGAGAATATGTAATTTATTACTAATCATTGATAGATTTTATTAGAAACCATAAACTAAATATTAATGCTAACTCTATTATGTTTTTATATGATAAAATGTCCACAAAATAAGTATATAAAAGTATTTAAAAATTCGTGAAAATCTCTTCCAAATATTACTAATTTTACTAAAAAATTATATTATTCTATAAAATATTAAGAAATATTGCCTTTTATTTTCTGTTTTATTTTTAATTGAGCCGAGATCAAGCCTTCTTCACAACTTTTATCTTTATTTAGGGTAATTTTGGAGTGGTGTCTTCATCATCTATGTTAATTATGACTTGACATCGGGTTGGATTTGGATTTCTCATGCAATTATCATTCCTTAGGCTCATTTATCATTTATTTTCTCATCTAACTTCACAATTAATTTGAATGAGAACAAATGTTAATGAGAATAAATGTTAATTTCATATATATGATAATTTTTCTGTTTCTAATTCATTATTTTAGTTAAGTTAGGATTGACTTATTTTTTATTGGGATAAATGTGTCCAGGCCCCAAAAACAGAAACTTCATGTGCTGCAGTCCCTCTTAGTTTCTCCTATGTGATTCAGCCCATTGAAGTGTGACACTTTATACTACAGTCCCTTTTTAACAATTATTACATGCCAGCTAAGCTAAAATCCCCAAAATAACCTTATCTCATCTCTTCAATCCCTCAAACCCAGCTCTCTCATCTCTCTATGTTAGTTCTAGCTAGTTGAGCAAGTTAGAACTAACAATATTCGAAGCGATATAACGAGAGATAGAAAATGAGCCGAAGTGAAAGGAAGATACCGTGTGATAGACAATATAAATGGCTACACACCGGCGAAGACGGTGGTGAAAACGGAGACCGGAGGTGGCCGAAAAACGCGCGCGAAGTCGGCACGACGCTACTATTTTCTGCTCGCTACTGCCGTCGAGCGATGTTTCGGACGTTACCGAGAGAGATAGAGACTGAGTTAGAGCCTAATACAATTTGGAGGTGATAGGCAACATGTAGGGCTAATCACCAAAGAAGAAATCGGCGAAAACGAAGATTGGAGGTGATCGGAAAGTGCGTGCGAAGTCGGCAAAAAACTGTAGTTTTTTGCAGTATAATTTCTCGCCGTTCAGGTTTGTTCTTCACTGTTCGGAGCTTTTCGCCCCTGTCCGGGCTTGTCGGAGGTGGGAGGAGGTTGTCGGGGTCGTCGGGGTGTCTCAGTGGGCTCCGCCGGAGGTGGGAGGAGCTTTTTCTCAAGTTAATTTTAGGCTCTTGGGCTCTCAAGTTAGTTCTAATTTGCCTCATGTTAGTTCCAACACGCCTCATGTTATTTCTAGCACGCTCCATGTTAGTTCTAACTAGTTCTAGCTCTAATTCATCTTAGTTCTAGGCTCTTGGGCTCTCAAGTTAATTCTAACTTGCACCATGTTAGTTCTAATTCGCCTCATGTTAGTTCTAATTCGCCCCATGCGAGTTATAACCCGCCCCATGTTAGTTCTAACTTGCCCCATGTTAGTTCTAACTTTTTCCATGTTAGTTCTAACCCGTGCCATGTTAGTTCTAGCCCGCCCCATGTTAGTTCTAGCCCGTCCCATGTTAGTTTTAGCTAGTTGGGCAAGTTAGAACTAAAAATATTCGAAGCGATATAACGAGAGATAGAAAATGAGCCCAAGTGAAAGGAAGATACCATGTGATAGACAATATAAAGGGTTACACACCGGCGAAGACGGTGGTGAAAACGGAGACCGGAGGTGGCCGAAAAACGCGTGCGAAGTCGGCACGACGCTGCTATTTTCTGCTCGCTGCTGCCGTCGAGCGATGTTTCGGACGTTACCGAGAGAGATAGAGACTGAGTTAGAGCGTGATACAAATTAGAGGTGATAGGCAACATGTAGGGCTAGTCAACAAAGAAGAAATCGGCGAGGCAACATGTAGGGCTAGTCAACAAAGAAGAAATCGGCGGAAACGGAGATTGGAGGTGATCGGAAAGTACGTGTGAAGTCGGCACAAAACTGCAGTTTTCTGCAGTGTAATTTCTCGCCGTTCGGGTTTGTTCTTCGTTGTTCGGAGCTTTTCGCCGCTATCCGGGCTTGCCGAAGGTGGGAGGAGGTTGTCGGGGTCGTCGGGGTGTCTCGGTGGGCTCCGCCGAAGGTGCGAGGAGTTTTTTCTCAAGTTAGTTCTAGGCTCTTGGGCTCTCAAGTTAGTTCTAATTTGCCCCATGTTAGTTCTAACACGCCCCATGTTAGTTCTAGCACGCTCCATGTTAGTTCTAGCTAATTCTAGCTCTAATTCATCTTAGTTCTAGGCTCTTGATCTCTCAAGTTAGTTCTAACTTGCCCCATGTTAGTTCTAATTTGTCTCATGTTAGTTCTAATTCGTCCCATGTTAGTTCTAGCCCGCCCCATGTTAGTTCTAAATTACCTCATGTTAGTTTTAACTTGTCTTATGTTAGTTTTAACTTTCCCCATGTTAGTTCTAACCCGTCTCATGATAGTTCTAGCCCGTCCAATGTTAGTTCTAGCTAGTTGGGCAAGTTAGAACTAACAATATTCGAACCGATATAATGAGAGATAGAAAATGAGCCCAAGTGAAAGTAAGATACTGTGTGATAGACAATATAAATGGCTACACATCGGCGAAGACGGTGGTGAAAACGGAGACCGGAGGTGGCTGGAAAACACGCACGAAGTCGGCACGGCGCTGCAGCTTTGTATCGACTTCACACGCACTTTCCGATCACCTCCAATCTCTATTTCCACCGATTTCTTCTTTGGTGACTAGCCCTACATGTTGCCTATCACCTCCAATTTGTATCACGTTCTAACTCAGTCTCTATCTCTCTCGGTAACGTCCGAAACATCGCTCGACGGCAGTAGCGAGCAGAAAATAGCAGCGCCGTGCCGACTTCGCGCGTGTTTTCCGGCCACCTCCGGTCTCCGTTTTCATCACAGTCTTCGCCGGTGTATAGCCCTTTATATTGTCTATCATACGGTATCTTCCTTTCACTTGGGCTCATTTTCTACCTCTCGTTATATCGCTTCGAATATTGTTAGTTCTAACTTGCCCCCAACTAGCTAGAACTAACATAGGGAGATGAGAGAGCTGGGTTTGAGGGATTGAAGAGATGTGATAAGGTTATTTTGGGGATTTTAGCTTAGTTGGCATGCAATAATTATTAAAAAAGGGCTGCAGTACAAAGTGTCACACTTCAAGGGGCTGAATCACATGGGGGAAACTAAGAGGGGCTGCAGCACATGAAGTTTCTGTTTTTGGGGCCTGGACACATTTTTTCCTTTTTTATTTGAAATGAATTCTTGTATTGTGCACCTAATAAGAGTTTCTACTGCATCAAAGAATGATACATTTGCAATGTCCTAAGTCATCAGAGATTCTATAACATTTATCATTTGGACACTCATTATTAACATCTACATTCACCTTATTGTTGCGGTCTTTGCAAACGTAAAGCCACAACTGAAGTCTACTATAACTTATAGTTATTTTTACCTTAAATGTGCAATAGCGTATAAGTACATTAGTAAATTTTAAGTAGGTTTAATTGTGTGAATTCTAGAGTATGTCTTTTAAGATCACACCTCTTTCGAATGTTATAATGCTTGCATAATATCGCTAAATTGAATTTTTGTTGTATTTGTAAAAAGTCTTGGTGGAGATGCTTTTTTCTTGATACCTTGTTTATGAAGGAACCTTGCATATTAACTTAAAAATATAATATTTATTATTTATTGTGTTATATGGATTTTGCTTGGTTTACTTACAAATCTCTTAGTTAAATCTTTGGGTTGATATGTGTGTATGTGTGTGTGTGTATAAACGCAAAATTGCAACGACATGAACATCCCTCCAGCAAATTTGAGATGGATATAAGGTGAACTTTATGTTTAGTGGTCTTTACAAATCTCTTAGTTAAATCTTTTGGTTGATATGTGTGTATGTGTGTGTATAGACGCAAAATTGCAATGACATGAACATCCCCCCAGCAAATTTGAGATGGATATAAGGTGAACTTTATGTTTAGTGGTTTTTAATAAGAATTTTTATAATGAAATATATTACCTTCATATTTAGAGATCATAAAATCCGATGATGTTATTATGTGCTTATCTTTGATCATGTCGTAAAGAATTGATCATTTTTCATAGCCATGTTCTTAAATATAGTTACACATAGAGGCATGCCACCATATAGTAAAAAGAAAAAATATCGATTTTTATTTTTTTCTTAAGCTATGATAAGTAAGTATCATGTGTGTTTATTTTGTCCACTATAGTGATTTCCCATATTTTGTCTGGTTTGTTAAGTAAGTATTATGTGGATACATTTTGTCAATTATAATGATTTTTCTCCTCTTGTCTGGTTTGTTACATCGCGTAATATAGTTGACCAATAGCTTCACGTTAGTTGCTAGTGCAATGTCATCTATATCTAATTATATAATAAGTTTATGACTTCTTTAGTA